GGTGGAGCAAATGAGGGTTCTTTACAGGCCCATGAAGAAAGGATCAAGAGGAGACAAGAAGTGCCATTGGAGCAACTTCTTAAAACTCAGGCATCCTTCAAGGATTATGGAGGTGAAAAAAGCTATCGAGGGAATGGACGAGGACGAGGCCGTGGCGGTCATGGACGAGGAAGAAGTAATGGTAACAACTTCAACAATGAAGTTAAAATCCACCAAGCATTCAGAGGTCGTGCTCGTGGACAAAGAGGAGGAAGAGGACGTGGCTACTACCAAGAAAATAATGGACAAAGGTGATAAATCAAAAACTGAGTGTTATAATTGTCATAAATTTGGCCATTACTCTTGAGAATGTCGTAGCAATGTTGAAGAAAAAGCTAACCTTGTTGACGACAAGAAAGAAGAAGATGAGTCAACGTTATTGCTGGCACTCAAGGAAGAAGACAGGGATGATTGCAGCTCGTGGTATTTGGACAATGGAGCAAGCAATCATATGTGTGGGTGCAAATAAAAGTTTGTGGAGATCAATAAAACGGTTAGAGGTAATGTGTCCTTTGGAGATACCTCAAAGATTCAAATCGAAGGGATAGGTACGATTCTGATCTCCTGTAAAGATGGTAGTCACAAGCTAATTCAAGATGTTTATTATGTGCCAAAATTAAAAAGTAATATTTTGAGTTTGAGCCAACTTCTTGAAAAGGAATATGACATCCACATGAAAAATATGCATCTTTGGCTTAGAGATTCAAGTGGAATTCTAATTGCTAAAGTGCATATGGCAAAGAATAGATTGTTTTCTCTGAATCTTAAAACAATTGATGCAAAGTGTTTGAAGGCTAATATGCAAGATGAATCATGGTGTTGGCACATGCGATTTGGGCACTTGAATTTTGAAGCACTCAAATCAATGGGAGAGAAGAACATGGTACATGGGATACCATCAATCAACCATCCCAATCAATTATGTGAAGCTTGTCTTCTTGGAAAACATGCAAGGAGGAGTTTTCCAAAGGAGGCCATGTCAAGATCAACCAAGCCGCTCTAGCTTGTTCACACTGATGTGTGTGGACCAATCAATCCACCTTCTTTTGGTAAAAGTAGATACTTTCTGCTTTTCATTGATGACTTTAGTAGAAAGACTTGGGTTTATTTCTTGAACCAAAAATCTGAAACTTTTGCAGCTTTTAAAAATTTCAAAGTACTTGTGGAGAAAGAAAGTGGCTATGAAATTAAAGCTCTAAGGTCCGATAGAGGAGGCGAATTCACTTCGAACGAATTTAATGACTTTTGTCAGTCTCATGGAATTTGTCGCCCTCTAATGGTACCTTATTCACCCCAACAAAATGGAGTTGCAGAGAGAAAGAATCGAATGATTCTTAATATGGCTCGATGTATGTTGAAAGCTAAAAGTATGCCCAAGGAATTTTGGGCCGAAGCTGTTTCTTGTGCAGTTTATTTGAACAACAGGTCTCCAACAAGAAATGTTAGAGATCAAACCCCTCAAGAAGCATGGAGTGGAATAAAGCCAAGTGTCAAACATTTGAGAATCTTTGGGAGCATAGCCTATGCTCATGTGCCACATCAAGGGAGAGCAAAGCTTGACGATCGAAGTGTCAAGTATGTGTTTGTTGGCTATGATACGAGTTCAAAAGGCTACAAGTTATACAACCCAAGCAGCGGCAAGGTGGTGGTAAGTCGCGATGTTGAATTTGATGAAGAATTGGCATGGGATTGGGAAGCTCAGGAAGAAACTTCATATGATTTTCTTCCATATTTTGGTGATGAAGAAGAAACAGAGACCGTGGAACCTGTGCAGGATACAACTCCACCTCCTTCTCCAACCAATGTTGCATCTCCCTCTTCTCAAGAAAGTTCAAATGAACAGCCGCAAAGGACAAGGAGCATTCAAGAGCTCTATGAGGACACAGAAGAAGTTACTAATTTTGATTTTTTATGTTGTCTCTTTGCTGACAGTGAACCAATGAACTTTGATGAAGCTGTTACAAACAAAAAGTGGAGACAAGCCATGGAGGAGGAGATTGAGTCAATATAGAAGAACAACACTTGGGAGTTAACAACTCTTCCCAAGGGTCATCGAGCAATTGGAGTGAAATGGGTATACAAAATAAAGAAGAATACCGATGGAGATGTGGAGAAATACAAGGCACGACTTGTGGCTAAAGGCTACAAGCAAAGGCAAGGCAATGACTATGAAGAAGTCTATGCACCTGTTGCCCGCATGGAGACGATTCGTTTGCTGATCTCTTTGGCGGCGCAAATGAAGTGGAAGATCCATCAACTAGATGTCAAGTCAGCCTTCTTGAATGGCTATCTTGAAGAAGAAGTCTATGTTGAACAACCATTGGGCTTCGTGGTCAAAAACCATGAAGATAAAGTGTTGCGGTTGAAGAAAGCTTTATATGGATTAAAGCAAGCCCCACGAGCATGGAATAGTTGCATCGATAAATATTTTCAAGACAATGGGTTTACTCGTTGTCTCCATGAATATGCTCTTTACCTTAAAGTTCATACTAATGGAGGTATCTTACTTGTTTGTCTTTATGTTGATGATCTTATTTTCACGGGCAATAACCCAAGTTTGTTTGAAGCTTTTAAGAAAGATATGTCCCGTGAGTTTGAGATGACAGACGTAGGGCTCATGTCATACTACTTGGGCCTAGAAGTGAAGCAGATGGAGGATGGAATTTTTATCTCTCAAGAAAGCTATACAAAAGAGATATTGAAGAAGTTCAACATGCTCGATTGCAACCCCGTGAACACACCGATGGAGAGTGGGACAAAATTGTCCAAGTTTGATGAAGGAGAAAAAGTGGATCCCACATTTTTCAAAAGTCTTGTGGGAAGTTTGAGGTACTTGACTTGTACCAGGCCAGATATACTCTTTGCAGTTGGAGTAGTAAGCCGCTTCATGGAAGCTCCTACCTCCACTCATTTGAAAGTCACTAGAAGAATTCTTCGCTACCTAAAAGGTACGACTGACTTTGGGCTATTTTATTCTTCTTCTAGTGATTTCAGTCTTATGGAATTTTGTGATAGTGATTACGCGGGTGATATTGATGATAGAAAAAGTACAACTGGTTTTGTATTTTTCTTGGGTGATTCTGTTATTTCTTGGAGTTCAAAGAAACAACCAATTGTTACTCTCTCGACTTGTGAAGCTGAATATATAGCAGCAACATCCTGTACATGTCATGCTATTTGGCTGAGAAGATTATTGAAGGAGCTCAAATTGCCACAAATTGAAGCTACAGAGTGTATTGACAACAAATCCGCACAGGCACTCGCGAAGAATCCAGTGTATCATGATTGAAGCAAGCATATAGACACAAGGTATCACTTCATTAGAGAATGCATTGCCAAGAAGGAAGNTAGTTAAGGGCGACAATGAACTTGTAGCTATTTAGATAGTTATTGCCACGATTATTAGTAATTATAGCAAATATGAGAAATTAGCTTTGCCAATTTAATGTTCGTAGCTAAGAAATTTTACAATGTTGGTAATAGCCATAAAATTTTATTTATTGTGGCTATTGCTAGGCATTAGCCACGATTCTTAAATTCATAGCTATGGTTTCGTAGCTAAAAATATATAATGTAGTAGTGAATTGGTTCATACGTGTGTTCTAAGAGGCAAACAATTTGTGAAGAAAGAGAAGAGACGAGACAGGACAGAGAGATAAAGCCCTGCACAAACGTTGAAAAATTCTGCTTTTCCTTTTTGCCGACAGTTGTTCATATTTGGTTCCTATAAGGGTCTGAACTAAAATAATACCTGAAATATAGCTGAACATGCAATAAACTCCTACATGAAAATGTGCATCAACATTTTTGGAGATGTCTCATATATAGTTCACCTGGTTCATGCAACCAACTATTCTGGATATGAATTAGAGAAGACATGCTTGCTAGATTAATGTTTCTTGAACATGCTCCATTTGATGTGCATTGAGGCATTGGACAAAGGTACTACCGAATGTATTCCTGCAAAAGGTATCGCAATCCATGGTTCGAATAATTTCGCCGTAGACCTGATATTAGCAAATTAATGTGTCCAATTTAAGTTATTAGACGAGGTGGTCACACAACTCAACATGGTATTGGAGCAGGCAAAGGTCTTGTTTTCAAGTATCACCCATTATCAAATAGAATTTTCAACAAAAAGATTCAAGCACGCATGTGAGGGTGAGTGCGCAGACCTAATGTAAGTAAATAAATGTGTTTTCTCTCCTCTCTTATACCTGAAGCTTTAGAGAGGCACTGACAATTCACCTTATTCAACTAGCATCTAAAGTTTTGATTCAGTTTGGAAGTGCTGAGATGAATGAGTAGTCATTTGAACTATAGTGTAACCTTTTCATATGCTAATGCTTTCAGTGAAATTCTGATCATCTGCCTGTAGAACCCATTTAATAAAGTAAAGAAAAGGAGAAAGTTGGCAACAAGTTGCAATTGCAACAAGTTGCAACCAGAGACAAAACAAGTCGGCAACAATGTAAAACCAATTTGCAAAATTGGTTTTCTGAATGGTTGTTGCAAGTTGACGAATCTTGTTCTCGGCAGTGACAACTTGCATATCAAATTGCAACAAACTAAATCAATCTGATTGATTTAGAGCTTGGCAAATTTTACTATAAATAAGAGCCTCGCTCGTTCAGTTTAAGTACACCAAAAAAGAGAGAGAAGCAACAGAGAGTTAGAGAGAGTAATCCACAGATTGTAGTCTGTGAGATAAATAGTGAGTGAGAGTAATATTGTAGTGAGGTGTTTAAAATAAAGAGTGTTATTTCTTTCGATGTTGTAGTAGTCTCTTGACACTACTAAGTTGTAATATTATAGTGGTAATATTGCTCCGCTGGGGTATTGGACTTTACCCCGTTAAAATATTTGGTGTCGTTGTTACTCTCTTGTGTTATTGTGATTCATCGTGGATATTGTTCCTGGGTGGGATTTTATTTTTATCCCAACAACGTGGTATCAGAGCCATGGCGAATAATGGTCCACTGTCTTTTCAGTACCCCCGTCTCACAAAAGATAATTACGAAAAATGGTATCTACGTATGAAAGCCATTCTTGGCTCCCAGGATGTGTGGGAAATCGTAGACAGAGGGTATGCAAAACCCGATAATGAGGAAGCTCTGCCTCAAAATGAAAAAGAAGTCTTGGCAAAGACAAGGAAGAATGATCAACAATCGCTCACGCTCATCCACCAATGTTTGGATGATGCCATGTTTGAGAAGGTGGCAGATGCTACTGCCTCAAAGGAAGCTTGGGAGATTTTACAAAATTCTCTTCAAGGAGTTGACAAGGTGAGGAAGGTAAAACTTCAAACTCTAAGGGCTGATTTTGAAGTTATAAAAATGAAAGAATCCGAATGCATTTCGGATTATTGTTCAAAAGTGAAGGCTGTTGTGAATCAATTAAGAAGATACGGGGAGGACACAAAAGATGTTCGTGTGGTAGAAAAGATCCTTCGCACTTTAACACCTAAATTCGATTTTGTGGTGTGTGCTATTGAAGAGTCTGAATATTTAGACTCAATGATGATGGAGCAATTGGAGGGTTCTTTACAGGCCCATGAAGAAAAGATCAAGAGGAGACAAGAAGTGCCACTGGAGCAACTTCTTAAAACTCAGGCATCCTTTAAGGATTATGGAGGTGAAAAAAGCTATCAAGGGAATGGACGAGGACGAGGCCGTGGCGGTCATGGACGAGGAAGAAGTAATGGTAACAACTTCAACAATGAAGTTAAAATCCAGCAAGCATTCAGAGGTCGTGCTCGTGGACAAAGAGGAGGAAGAGGACATGGATACTACCAAGAAAATAATGGACAAAGGTATGACAAATCAAAAATTGAGTGTTATAATTGTCATAAATTTGGCCATTACTCTTGGGAATGTCGTAGCAATGTTGAAGAGAAAGCTAACCTTGTTGACGACAAGAAAGAAGAAGATGAGTCAACGTTATTGCTGGCACTCAAGGAAGAAGACAAGGATGATTGCAGCTCGTGGTATTTGGACAATGGAGCAAGCAATCATATGTGTGGATGCAAAGAAAAGTTTGTGGAGATCAATAAAATGGTGAGAGGTAATGTGTCCTTTGGAGATACCTCAAAGATTCAAATCGAAGGAATAGGTACGATTCTGATCTCCTGTAAAGATGGTAGTCACAAGCTAATTCAAGATGTTTATTATGTGCCAAAACTAAAAAGTAATATTTTGAGTTGGGCCAACTTCTTGAAAAGGAATATGACACCCACATGAAAAATATGCATATTTGGCTTAGAGATTCAAGTAGAATTCTAATTGCTAAAGTGCATATGGCAAAGAATAGATTATTTTCTCTGAATCTTAAAACAATTGATGCAAAGTGTTTGAAGGCTAATGTGCAAGATGAATCATGGCGTTGGCACATGTGATTTGGACACTTGAATTTTGAAGCGCTCAAATCAATGGGAGAAAAGAACATGGTACAAGGGATACCATCAATCAACCATCCAAATCAACTGTGTGAAACTTGTCTTCTTGGAAAACATGCAAGGAGGAGTTTTCCAAAGGAGACCATGTCAAGATCAACCAAGCCACTCCAGCTTGTTCACACCGATGTGTGTGGACCAATCAATCCACCTTCTTTTGGTAAAAGTAGATATTTTCTGCTTTTCATTGATGACATTAGTAGAAAGACTTGGGTTTATTTCTTGAACCAAAAATCTGAAGCTTTTGCTGCTTTTAAAAATTTCAAAGTACTTGTTGAGAAAGAAAGTGGCTATGAAATTAAAGCTCTACGGTCTGATAAAGGAGGCGAATTCACTTCAAACGAATTTAATGACTTTTGTCAGTCTCATGGAATTCGTCGCCCTCTAACGGTACCTTATTCACCCCAACAAAATGGAGTTGCAGAGAGAAAGAATCGAACAATTCTTAATGTGGCTCGATGTATGTTGAAAGCTAAAAGTATGCCCAAGGAATTTTGGGCCGAAGCTGTTTCTTGTGCAGTTTATTTGAACAACAGGTCAAGAAATGTTAGAGATCAAACCCCTCAAGAAGCATGGAGTGGAAGAAAGCCAAGTGTCAAACATTTGAGAATCTTTGGGAGCATAGCCTATGCTCATGTGCCACATCAAGGAAGAGCAAAGCTTGACGATCGAAGTGTCAAGCATGTGTTTGTTGGCTATGATACGAGTTCAAAAGGCTACAAGTTATACAACCCAAGCAGCGGTAAGGTGGTGGTAAGTCGCGATGTTGAATTTGATGAAGAATTGGCATGGGATTGGGAAGCTCAGGAAGAAACTTCATATGATTTTCTTCCATATTTGGGTGATGAAGAAGAACCAGAGACCGTGGAACCTGTGCAGGATACAACTCCACCTCCTTCTCCAACCAATGTTGCATCTCCCTCTTCTCAAGAAAGTTCAAATGAACAGCCGCAAAGGACAAGGAGCATTCAAGAGCTCTATGAGGACACAGAAGAAGTTATTAATTTTGATTTTTTATGTTGTCTCTTTGCTGACAGTGAACCAATGAACTTTGATGAAGCTGTTACAAACAAAAAGTGGAGACAAGCCATGGAGGAGGAGATTGAGTCAATAGAGAAGAACAACACTTGGGAGTTAACAACTCTTCCCAAGGGTCATCGAGCAATTGGAGTGAAATGGGTATACAAAATAAATAAGAATGCTGATGGAGATGTGGAGAAATACAAGGCACGACTTGTGGCTAAAGGCTACAAGCAAAGGCAAGGCATTGACTATGAAGAGGTCTATGCACCTGTTGCCCGCATGGAGACGATTCGTTTGCTGATCTCTTTGGCAGCGCAAATGAAGTGGAAGATCCATCAGCTAGATGTCAAGTCAGGCTTCTTGAATGGCTATCTTGAAGAAGAAGTCTATGTTGAACAGCCATTGGGCTTCGTGGTCAAAAACCATGAAGATAAAGTGTTGCGGTTGAAGAAAGCTTTATATGGATTAAAGCAAGCCCCACGAGCATGGAATAGTTGCATCGATAAATATTTTCAAGAAAATGGGTTTACTCGTTGTCTCCATGAATATGCTCTTTACCTTAAAGTTCATACTAATGGAGATAGCTTACTTGTTTGTCTTTATGTTGATGATCTTATTTTTACGGGCAATAACCCAAGTTTGTTTGAAGCTTTTAAGAAAGATATGTCCCGTGAGTTTGAGATGACAGACGTAGGGCTCATGCCATACTACTTGGGCCTAGAAGTGAAGCAGATGGAGGATGAAATTTTTATCTCTCAAGAAAGCTATACAAAAGAGATATTTAAGAAGTTCAACATGCTCGATTGCAACCCCGTGAACACACCGATGGAGAGTGGGACAAAATTGTCCAAGTTTGATGAAGGAGAAAAAGTGGATCCCACATTTTTCAAAAGTCTTGTGGGAAGTTTGAGGTACTTGACTTGTACCAGGCCAGATATACTCTTTGCAGTTGGAGTAGTAAGCCGCTTCATGGAAGCTCCTACCTCCACTCATTTGAAAGTCACTAGAAGAATTCTTTGCTACCTAAAAAGTACGATTGACTTTGGGCTATTTTATTCTTCTTCTAGTGATTTCAGTCTTATGGGATTTTGTGATAGTGATTACGCGGGTGATATTGATGATAGAAAAAATACAACTGGTTTTGTATTTTTCTTGGGTGATTCTGTTATTTCTTGGAGTTCAAAGAAACAATCCATTGTTACTCTCTCGACTTGTGAAGCTGAATATATAGCAGCAACATCCTGTACATGTCATGCTATTTGGCTGAGAAGATTATTGAAGGAGCTCAAATTGCCACAAATTGAAGCTACAGAGTGTATTGACAACAAATCCGCACAGGCACTCGCGAAGAATCCAGTGTATCATGATTGAAGCAAGCATATAGACACAAGGTATCACTTCATTAGAGAATGCATTGCCAAGAAGGAAGTCGAACTCAAATATGTGAAGTCTCATGATCAAGCTGCGGATATCTTTACAAAGCCTCTCAAGTTTGAAGATTTTCAGAGATTGAGATCAATACTTGGAATGAAGAAGAAAAATCAAAATTAAGGGAGAGATTTGTAGAACCCATTTAATAAAGTAAAGAAAAGGAGAAAGTTGGCAACAAGTTGCAATTGCAACAAGTTGCAACCAGAGACAAAACAAGTCGGCAACAATGTAAAACCAATTTGCACTGAATGGTTGTTGCAAGTTGACGAATCTTGTTCTCGGCAATGACAACTTGCATATCAAATTGCAACAAATTAAATCAATCTGATTGGTTTAGAGCTTGGCAAATTTTACTATAAATAGGAGCCTCGCTCGTTCAGTTTAAGTACACCAAAAAAGAGAGAGAAGCAACAGAGAGTTAGAGAGAGTAATCCACAGATTGTAGTCTGTGAGATAAATAGTGAGTGGGAGTAATATTGTAGTGAGATGTTTAAAATAAAGAGTGTTATTTCTTTCGAAGTTGTAGTAGTCTCTTGACACTACTAAGTTGTAATATTATAGTGGTAATATTGCTCCGTTGGGGTATTGTACTTTACCCTGTTAAAATATTTGGTGTCGTTGTTACTCTCTTGTGTTATTGTGATTTATCGTGGATATTGTTCCTGGGTGGGATTTTATTTTTATCCCAACACTGCCATCTTTCATTTCAACTTATCATGCTTAAGAGCTACTATGAAGGAACTTCATTCATATCTATCATCTATAATCATCTGTGACAAACTGGGATGCTTGTTTACTGACTGATATACTGCATTGGTGATAGGGAACAAGGTCAATACAATGACCCTACCAATCATATTGGTTGGAAACGGCCACCTATAGAGGAGGTTGTTGCAATACTTGTTCTTGTAATTATTGGATATTTTTAATTGTCTGATTCATGTAAGCTTGGAACTCTGGTGGTATTCCTTGGGTGTTGAGTTCCTCCTTCTCTTTTTGGGCAGGTTCTATCCAAGTTAACAATTAATTTCATTAAGGTGCATTCAAGACATTGTGCTGAATTAGCTGAACATGTAGCTGGACTGACTTACAGCTTAGCTTCTTGCCAATTTAGGTATGTCAAAGTCTTATCTCAGTGAACTCGAATTCTTGGACAATGCAACAGATGCCATATATATATATATATATATATATATATATATATATATATATATATATATATATATATATATGCGAACATCTATATAATATCAATTTGTCAGGCTTGTAAGTAATTTGACCATAAAATTTGGGCCAGTTTATTTTGAAATACCTAACTGAAATGTGAATTCGTGAGTCCTTGTATTACTATCTTTTGTCTGCTATACATTTCCTAATTAGGAAGGCCAACCTCTTTTCAATATAAGAAATCAGACTTTTAGTGGCGACAAGAGTCGCTACTTAATCATGCAAGCTATACACTTTTAGTGGCGACTTCCGGGTCGCTCCATGTATAACTATTACTAAATGTTTTTAGTGACGACTACTGAAAGTCGCCACAAATAAGATACATTTTGGCGACTTTATTCGCCACAACAAGTGCAGTAAATACCTACCCACAAAATAGGTTAGAGGTAGGTCGCCGCTGATGAACGACTTTTAGTAGCAATGATAGTCGCCGCAAAAGGAATTATACCTTAAATGGCAGCTCTTGTCGCCACAATAACATGAGGTTTAGTAGCAATATTGGTCACCACAAATAGCAATTATTTTGTAGCAAAGTTTGGTCGCCTCTAAACCCTATTTTTTCCAACAGAATTTAATTTTTTAAAAATAATTAAGCAGCAAATATATTTTTAATAATATTACACAAGTGTATTAGAGCAACTCATTAATGTAAAGAAGAGACACCATTAAATCACTTACCAAACAAAAAGATCAACAAACCTTTTCATAAAATTCAGAACATATAGGAATTGTCCATACACATGACACAGCCCGAAAACAAAAAAACAAAAAAAACAAAGAAGCAGCAAAAGTAAAATGTCTTCAAGCTTCTCCTTGGCTAGTACCATGTCATCTTGAACAATATGGCCACAGAATGCAATAACAAAACTCATAAGAGAATAAATTTTGGCTGCT